GCCTAGGTTTTAACAAGGCCTCAAACACCTTTCTCTCTTTCGGAGATAGTGAAGCTTCCTTTCCTTAAACCGCATAGGATAAGGAAGACAACATCTCACTATGGACCACGAGCTTAGCTTCGGCGTGAGCCTCACTATCACCTACAGAACTCACAATTGCATCAGAAAATCATTATAGCATGATAGTAACTCACAATTAATTTAAATAAAAAATGTTTAACAAGAGCGATACAATTCACAACGAAAGCTTCCATATGAAATTTCATAAGGATCCGAGCTAAATAATTTCAGCAATTGACACGATGCATTTCCATCATAGAAATGCATCAAATACGTGTAAAATGGATAATCTCAAAATGAATGGGAGACCAGGTAAATTGATCGATCAAAATGTTCATCATTCCAATACAATCATCAAATGTATGACTAAATAAATCTGCACAACAATATCAAAAGAAAGTTTGGTTGACAACATTTCAAAATAGTTGCGACTGATAATAATTTGCGCAAGAAATTCCATCTACTAAAATTACAACTGAGTGATACCTCAAAGTTCAAGATAAAGTTTTCGATTAAAATATTACACATGAAAGACAATAATTCTCAACACAATAACTCAAAATTTATAGATAATGTCGATAAATATTGAGTATCAAAATAACAACAGGTTACGATTCAATTAAAAGGGTCTTTACCCGTTCACACCCTGAATGACGAACGCAGCATAATGGGGCCCACTTGGCCAGAACTCAATTCGTGAAAAGCAGATCAAAAGACATGTTCTCCATGTCAAAAGTCACATCCTAACTTAAGTGAGGAGTTGTGTCAAAGGTCACAGTCGTGCCCCGGGACGAACAGTTGCAGCATTCAACTGTGAGAGTCACGTCTGTTCATCCAACGGGCTGTGCAAGTCGTGTCTGTTCGTGCAGTAAATGTGTCTGTTCGTGCAAAAGGTGTGTTTGTTCATAAAGAAGTCAAAGAGATAAGGTCCCAGTCTAGATTCAAGTCAAAGAGGAAGTCTAGATGCAGTTTGGAAGTCCGAAATTTAGACCTAAAGGCCGCCGCAGCAGCAGACCCTGAGGGAAAGGTACTAGGACACATTCTGCAGTGGTCTGGGACTGGGAAAAGATCCAAGGAAGGTTGATTCAGACCTCGCAAAGGGAGGCCAGCACTATAAAAGACCAGGCCAGCCTCCCCACACGACATATCTCCACTGGCATTGATGCGTGGAAGTGTTGAAGCACTTGTGCGCTAGCATGCAGGGAGAATGCGTTGGCTGGAAGCCGCGCAAGCAGGAGAAGAAGAGGTTGGGCGCTGACTGGCAGAAGCAGCCATAGTTGCGCCAGCATTATTAGTAGAAGTAGAGGGGTTAGWAGTAGACATCAGTGAGTAGCATTCAGAGTAGATCCTCATAAGTAGGGAGTGAGCATGCAGAGTGAGACAAGGGAACCAAGACAGGGATCTCGAGAGAGTGAGAAAGTGAAGACAGATTGAGGAGTTGGATATGGTGTAAACTTACCTGTTGGCGCCATACCTGTGATCCGAGGGCAGATGTTGGCTGAGCCAGGCCCTATGCTGAAGATTGAACGAGAGAGACTTGTATTCTATTGGCGCTGAACTTTTGGACTCGAGATACTCTTTGTATAATATTGTTGAGATAATATGAGTTGTGCTATCTGGTTTTCATCTCATCTCGATTTGGCTTTGTGTCAAGTTTCTTTATCTGTGTGATGATTTCTATGCATGCAATGAGATACACTCCAGCAAGCTATGAGAGTAGATCCTCATAAGTAGGGAGTGAGCATGCAGAGTGAGACAAGGGAACCAAGACAGAGATCTCGAGAGAGTGAGAGAGAGAAGACAGGTTGAGGAGTTGGACATGGTGTAAACTTACCTGTTGGCGCCATACCTGTGATCCGAGGGCAGATGTTGGTTGAGCCAGGCCCTATGTTGAAGATTAAACGAGAGAGACTTGTATTCTATTGGCGTTGAACTTTTGGACTCGAGATACTCTTTGTATAATATTGTTGAGATAATATGAGTTGCGCTATCTGGTTCTCATCTCATCTCGATTTGGCTTTGTGTGAAGTTTCTTTATCTGTGTGATGATTTCTATGCATGCAATGAGATACACTCCAGCAAGCTATGAGCAGTCAGGTTCCTTGCACAATTAACATTACAGTATTGAGAACTTACATCCGACCGAAACGCTCAAAATAACCAAAATAATCTTCAGAATAAAAGGAACACATAGTTCATAGAGTTATGAAATAATGAGAAATCAATCAATGATGATAAGTTAATATACGTTTAGAAATCAGAGTGCAATCAATTGATCCATTACAAAATAAAATATTTGAGTGTCGTTCCACTAGGGACAACGGTAGACAGTCGTTATCCCCGACAATAGCGCCACTTGTGGAGCGCATCAGCTCCCACCTTTTTCGCAAAGTGTCGGAGCCCTCCCGGTCATGTCAGGCAGGTAAACGAAAGAAAACAAGAGACAGCTTGGGGACAATGCAAAAAAAAATTGTGAACCGTCGAGGCAGACGCGGTCGCGTCATCCTTTCGCTGCTCTACCCGGGCGCGCCAGCCGTACTTCCCACGGTCCCCTACAACAGGATAAGTTCCCACGGGGCACAACTTGCCTTCCCTAAGGGGTTGTCACCACCTTTACCAAGCTACTAACCCGCATGCGAAAGTTTTTAGATGCAATCGTAGAGGTAAGTCAGTCGAAGGCGTTGGCTCGATTCGTTGTGATATAGGTACGTTTGGTCAAACCCCAAGCGTACCCAACCGTCGCCCGTTCCTTAGGGTGTTGATCTCCTAAGTACGAAGCGGACATCAGTAGACTAGGACGGCTTCAACCAAGCGTGAAACCCATAACTCAATCCTAGTCCCTTAGACGCACAGTCAAAAGAAAGTTATAACCACACATAATTCAATCAAAAGGAATCAACAGGAATATATCAAATCTGATATGGTAAGTGACAGAATTGGAATCATCATATGGTACATCCAATAACAAAAGATCGAAATAAAACCCGACCACCTCGGGTTGAACTCGATGAACAAAACTATCATACCGAGCCGCCAACTAGGAGTTGGCTCCGGCAATAACCTCGATGCAACCGACAAGGTAGTCGGACTGCCTCAGTTTCGACTTTTTTTTTTTTTTTTTTTTTGAAATTTTGAGATACCGAGGCCATTACCCGGCTTTTGGCTTAAAAAGATTAGAGCTACTGAGAAAATTTCTACGACAAGCTTCAAAAATAGGCAAAAGTCAGAAAATGACTCAGAACCCCCCATCCAGCCTCTTTTACCTCACTCCGGCAAGACTTACTGCAGCAGAGCCACCATCTCCGTTGTTGTTGTGCCCTAATTCCATCCTACGAGCTGGCCCCCTCACTAGTAGGGACGCTTGATATCCCACCATCTACTTCTCTCACACACCTCTTTTTTCGAAAGTTCTCAGAAGAAATTGTCTATGGTCTACCCAACCACAGTCCCATCCTAGAAACAGAAGATCCTAATTGAAAGATCCCATTGTTTACACCTCCCCTTCAACAAGCAAAAAGACGTTAGGTCCAAGTGTTTAGTCCTCGTAAGAACTCGGCTACCCTATGCTAGGGTTACAGAGCAGCACAAACTTCCACAATACCGGCCAGCATGATTCTGACGGCAAAGAGTGTCTTCCTCCCTCGACACTCCCGATTAGCCACTCGCCCCCAAGTTACAGGGAAAAAAAAACGGCATCCGCTACGTCGGACAACCTGGTTATGCCTTCCTCCCTCGACATAACTCCCCAGACCTCTTGCTCCCCCAGGTTACAGAGCAAAAGCTCCAACACCGGTCTGCGTCGTCCCAACATTGTCCTTTTGGCCTACTGACTTAGACAAACGTCCCTTCCCCTGTTGAACCCTCCTTACTACCTCCCATCTTCCAGTTCTAACCTTTGCCTTCCCCCCCTGACGTTCTATCCACAATCTCCTTCGGTTGAGAAACCCCTTACACAATTACCAAAAATGAGCGTCCAGCTTTTTTTTATTTAAAAACCCATCAAAAAATTTCATACCAGCGCCCACTATTCCCACAGGGAGAGGGGAAGAGAGGGGAAGGACAACCCTCTCTCCCCATGATACTTATAAAAGGGGTCACAAGAGCCAAAGCGATTACTCCCTTCCCCCAAAACAGCAACCCCCTGTTTGTTTACTGCCTCCGCGGGAAGGCGCCAGCCCCTCACCTCCCCGCCCCAGTTCAAAACAGCCCCTAGAATACCCCTCCTGCTCCCTCGGTCGCATACAATACCCCCTAGAGTATGCTCCGCAGAGCAAAAGATTCCCCTACCTTCCTGCCCCACCCCCTCCAAGAGGAACAGCCCTCTCACCTCTCAC